CGGGCCCAGTGGTTTCTTGATATTGAGAGACGACATCCGATATTCTCGCTGATCACCAAGTTGACGCTCGTTCATGAACAGAGGAGATAGAATCAGTCTCTACGTTACTTTGATGATGCAGGTTGGTTTTGCTTGATAATCGATGTGTGTGTGAGAACAGCTTGACAATAAAAGCTTTGTGCAACTTATATCTGTCTGCTGATACTCACTTGTCGTCGTTTCATTGGTTGCAGTGCACATTTCGTCTGCGTCGATTGTAGCTTGACTCTTATGGTCATCTCTGAGGGTGAAGATGTGTTTCACAAAAACCGGATTCATACGATGACAAGCAAAACGAGGGTAAGGGGGTGTGAAGCGTGAGGTGTGAGGATGAGGGTGAGACAACCTACCATGACACGTGTTTCGACCTTGCTCAAGGGTCTTGGGTGTGGGTGTGGTTATATTCTTTCCAAACTCCCACACAACCATATCCATACCCACACCCACACCCTTCGGAGAAAAGATACCAACTCCTGAGGGGATTTTCATCAATTAACATAATGTATGTGTGATTTGCAGACTTTTATATCGAGTAACTGCTGAAAATCTTTATCTTAAAAAATAGAATTTTAATGTCACACCCTGATAAGAACTGCTCTGACACTTTTGTTACTTAGGGCATACCAAAAGTTCGTGCAGTGATACTTTAATACCTTATAATAAGCTTAAAGTAACTTTCTTTCTATATCGTCTGATAGAGGAAAAAAAGCTCTATCTTTCTATGCTATTGGATCGTACTTCAAGTAATATGATGATAATAAATTTTCGATAAGACTTTTTTCATTACTAATTGTGCTCGTTGTAAGTTTTGCGCTGCAGTTTTCAATTCCTTATTAGTTGTATTAATAACCAAAATATACTATAAGATGCAGTGTGAAAAGCTCTACAATTTATGTACGGCCACTTATTTTATAGTTGCACTTATTGTTTTCGAAATCGACAAAATTTTGAGCAATCAAATTGTGACCATGCGAAACAGATAATGTGTTTGATAGACAACGAATTCATTTTTGTTATTTCATTGTTTCATCACCTGATATGCTTTATCAAAAGAAAAACAAATATACCACAAGATGCAGCGTCAAAAACTCTACAATCTACACAGTAAAGCTTATTGTAATTGTTTTCAGAAAAAGGAAAATTCTATGCGACCAATTTTCTCAATGCCCAAAATTTGATTCCTGAAAACTTTCTCGATTTTGAAAACAAAAAGTGCAGCTATAAAATAAGTGGCCGTACGTAAATTGTAGAGCTTTTCACGCTGCATCTTATGGTACATTTTGGTTTTTCATACAATGTATTAAGGGATTGAAAACTAGTCTGTTCTCAAACGTTGTGATCTAGTACAACCAGCACACAACCAGCCGAAATAGGTTTTATAGATAATTTAATATTATTATATTAGTTAAAGTACGATCAAACAGCATAGAAAGATAGAGCTTTTTTTTCTCTATCAGACTATATAGAAGGAAAGTTACTTAAAGCTTATCATAAGGTATTAAAGTATCACTGCACGAACCTTTGGTATGCCCTAAGAAAATACAAATCCTTCGTTCTTTCTTGAATCTTTTAGTAACTGTAAACACTGCATTTGCGAACATTGTTCTTAAATTTGACACCGTTGCCATCACATGATGAATTTCCCAAATATTACAATCCGTTTTGGAAAAGGTTGCGTGACTATCTAATGGTAAAATTAAAAGAACTTGTCAAAGCATTTTTTTAACGAGTAGATATTACAGAAAACTTTGAAAAGAGNGTGGAACGAGAAAGATGATGTTTTCATGAAAGATGTACCATACTTTTGTTATAGTCATTTACTTGGAAGACTTGAAATATCTACAATAATTCCTGCTTCATCACCGAAATTTCAAGAAAATTTTACAACTCCAGAACCAGAGAAGCCAATAGACCGAGTCTTAAATAGTACGCATATTAACACAGCAATGCAAATGGTAAATAATAGTCAATATCATAGAAGAATGGTTTTTGGTAGAAGCAATGGGCACTGGGTAATTAATGGTGAAACTTGGGACACATTCAGAATTGCTGCTGAAGATGTTGGACAAAATACATGGGAACTTTGGTTATTTGAAACCGGTGGTGGATGGTTTCATCCTGTACATATGCATCTTGTTGATTTTTATATTATTCAACGTGATGGTGACACTGGATTAAGAAGTTATGAGAACTTGTCACCAAAAGATGTATTATTTTTGGGAGAAGGAAATAAGCTTTGGGTAGTAGCAAGATTTGGTGCTCATAAAGGCGATTATATGTTTCATTGTCATAATCTTATTCATGAAGATAATGATATGATGAGAGCAATGCGTATTATTGATAGTCAAAATGGACGCAATGCTCCAACATCAGAACCATTTATTCTTAATGGTTTTGCAAATGTTATTTACAGCAATTGGAAATATAGTGACCCAATGTTGAATGACACTGCTGCAAAACCCACATCTCAAATGCCATTATTTGACTCAACTTATATCCAAAACATGTTGAATAATAATGTTTATAGAATTTTTTATCCATTTCCTTCTGACGCTACTTTGAATGGTTTCACAAATCCTTGGAGATCTAGGTGGTGTGCAGCATAAGACCATTCATTTATAATAAAAAAAAATGAACATCAAGACTTTAATTCCCTTTTGTGAAAGAAAGGATCTACCAAACAAAACTTTTTGTCTGTCTGTCTCTCTCTCTCTTTCTCTCTTCCCAATCAATCGGAAAGAAGCATTTTGTGAGTAGGTGGAAAATAAAAAATATCAACATTGAAGTAATGTAGACATACGCAATCAAGACTGATGTTACTATCAACAGATGTCAGTCTATGAAGCTAACCTTCTTCTATAGTTTTGAGTTCTTTTCATTCCTCTTTGATGTCTATTGTGCTCTTGTCTCGTTGGTCATCATTAGTAGATAATGATCCTCTTTTTCCTTTGCATCATTGTTTTTCTCTACTCCGTTGTTTGACCTTTTTTATATGTGACTTATATTTATATTTGATTTTCTTTTTTTTTTGTAGCTTTAGTTTGTTTTGTGAGAGTGTGTTAGTGATATTATCACAGTTATCATTGCTATTGTGATTTCCTTCCTTAATCTTTCTTTCGTGATCTCTTTCGTTGATTATTCTTTCTCACTTTTTTTTGAAAATAAAACATCCATTATCTGGTTCATTTGATCATCATCATTCATCCATTATATCGTCAAGATACGGTAGAGAGTGAAGTGAGGGTGCATGTATGAATTACCACTACCAGTTTCCTCCCTCTTCAAAGAACTCGTCAGATGGCAAGATTTCTAGTTCGATTCTTAAAATTAAACTAAGAATTAATTCGAAATCAAAGTTATTCAGTTGCCAAAGTGTAGATAACATTATTTTGTAGTAGTAAGTATATGAGGGTGAGGGTGAGTATAAGAAACAAAAAAAAAAGAGTCTGAAGGAAAGTAATCGTAATTATTTGTTCACGAAAATACATCTTAGTTTTAGAAAGTGTAACCACACAAGCACATCTCAGAAAGTACGAAAAAAATATTGAGAAAGATAATTAAATCGAAACAGAAACCAAACCAATAAATCCCGGTATCCCATCGGTTGTTTTGCCAGTTAAACTATTCGAAATTCTCTCTAGCAAAGAAATTCACTGTATATTCAGTCATCGATCTATAACCAGAGCATATCAGAACATTAGTAAATAATGATTCCCATAGTTGAACTCTTGTTGCTGCACGAGAAGAGTGATTCAAACGAAAAACAGACTCACCAGTATATATTGAAGATACAAATCAATCTGCTATTCTCAACTCTTACTTTTCAGCAATCAATATTGAGGTGTGAGGTGAGAGTGAGTTTACAAGTTAATTCCAAGCTACTTACGACGATCGCTTCGGTCTTACTTTAGAATCATCATCAGATAAATTACGAATTATAATATTCTGTATAGAGATTTATCTGAAATCAATAGAAATTTTTAAAAAAGTAAAAAAAAGCTCTCAATAGCATTCTAGTATTAAGATAAAGAGGATGAGGATGAGTTTGCAGTATTTTACATTCTAAAGAACTATCTATAATCTTTTTACTTGTTCACATGAAAATATTCATAGTATTAAAATGAATACATTCACTTGACATGCTCTATTAAGTATAAAAGACGAAATAGAAAGAATCTTTCAAGCAGAATGGCATCAAACCCACATCTTCCAACAACCAGTTGACTGCTCAACCAATTAAGCTACACAATCATCATCTCAGTTACTAAAGTAATTGCACATCCGATATTCAATTTAATCATATGAATATCCCAGAACATTAACAATCCTATTGATCTTTCTCCATCTTTTGCTGTAAACTCCCCCCCAGAATAGAAGGCCACCCCATATTAGAAGGCCACCCCCATTATAAGACCACCCTAAGTCATATCTGCAAAAGTCATATTAGAAGGCCATGGCTTTCTAATGAATTGTTTGGATATTACATAAATATGCGGTGGTAGTTTTATAAATATCTTAGCATTTTGAGAGATCATGTATGATATCCACCACACTTCTGTTGGGTTTTGCTACAAATTTTAAGAAGTTTGTTCAATTTCCAAAAGCTGTCAAAATCAAACAAAGTTTAATATACCCACATGATCGCTTCAATTCTTTTGCTTTGCTACGATATGGTTTTTGAATATATATAAAAACTTTTCTGATCTTTGATTTATTTGTGGTGCTAGACGTCGGATAAGTGTAGTAATATTTGTTGATGAAATATAAATAAGTGAATAAACTAATGGCAAGATAAACTGGTTCATCAAAAATTTTATTTATTTTAAATAAAAATATATAGTTTAGCTTTCGACCTCTCTGAAAGGGTCATTATTAACGCTAAAGTTATATGAAAAAAATTTGCAGATAATATATGAGACAATNTATGTGATTTTACAACATTAAAAGGTCAAACTCTATTTATGTGGAACGAGAAAGATGATGTTTTCATGAAAGATGTACCATACTTTTGTTATAGTCATTTACTTGGAAGACTTGAAATATCTACAATAATTCCTGCTTCATCACCGAAATTTCAAGAAAATATTACAACTCCAGAACCAGAGAAGCCAATAGACCGAGTCTTAAATAGTACGCATATTAACACAGCAATGCAAATGGCAAATAATAGTCAATATCATAGAAGAATGGTTTTTGGTAGAAGCAATGGGCACTGGGTAATTAATGGTGAAACTTGGGACACATTCAGAATTGCTGCTGCAGATGTTGGACAAAATACATGGGAACTTTGGTTATTTGAAACCGGTGGTGGATGGTTTCATCCTGTACATATGCATCTTGTTGATTTTTATATTATTAAACGTGAGGGTGACACGGGATTAAGAAGTTATGAGAAATTGTCACCAAAAGATGTATTATTTTTGGGAGAAGGAAATAAGCTTTGGGTAATAGCAAGATTTGGTGCTCATAAAGGCGATTATATGTTTCATTGTCATAATCTTATTCATGAAGATAATGATATGATGAGAGCAATGCATATTATTGATGGTCAACATGGACTCAATTCTCCAACAGCAGAACCATTTATTACTAATGGTTTTGCAGATATTATTTACAGCAATTGGAAATATAGTGACCCAAATTTGAATGACACTGCTGCAAAACCCACATCTAAAATGCCATTATTTGACTCAACTTATATCCAAAACATGTTGAATAATAATGTTTATAGAATTTTTTATCCATTTCCTTCTGACGCTGCTTTGAATGGTTTGACAAATCCTTGGAGATCTAGGTGGTGTGCAGCATAAGACCATTCATTTATAACAAAAAAAAATGAACATCAAGACTTTAATTCCCTTTTGTGAAAGAAAGGATTTACCAAACAAAACTTTTTGTCTGTCTGTCTCTCTCTCTCTCTTTCTCTCTTCCCAATCAATCGGAAAGAAGCATTTTGTGAGTAGGTGGAAAATAAAAAATATCAACACTGAAGTAATGTAGACATACGCAATATCAAGACTGATGTTACTGTCAACAGATGTCAGTCTATGAAGCTAACCTTCTTCTATAGTTTTGAGTTCTTTTCATTCCTCTTTGATGTCTATTGTGCTCTTGTCTCGTTGGTCATCATTAGTAGATAATGATCCTCTTTTTCTTTTGCATCATTGTTTTTCTCTATTGCGTTGTTTGATCTTTTTATATGTGACATATATTTATATTTGATTTTCTTTTTTTTTGTAGTTTTACTTTGTTTTGTGAGAGTGTGGTAGTGATATTATCACAGTTATCATTGCTATTGTGATTTCCTTCCTTAATCTTTCTTTCGTGATCTCTTTCGTTGATTGATCTTTCTCGCTTAATTTCAAAAATAAAGCATCGATTATCTGGTTCATTTGATCATCATTATTCATTCATTATATCGTTAAGATACGATAGAGAGTGAGGTGAGGGTGCATATATGAATTACCACAGCCAGTTTCCTCTCTCTTCAAAGAGCTCGTCAGGTGGCAGGATTTCTAGTTCGATTCTTAAAATTAAACTAAGAATCAATTCGAAATTAAAGTTGTTCAGTTGCCGAAGTGTAGATAACATTATTTTGTAGTAGTAAGTATGTGAGGGTAAGTATAAGAAACACAATAGAAGAGTCTGAAGGAAAGTAACCGTAATTATTTGTTCACGAAAATACATCTTAGTTTTAGAAAGTGTAACCACACGAGTACATCTCAGAAAGTATGAAAAACTTATTGAGAAAGATCATTAAATCGAAACAGGAGCTGAACCAGTAAATCCCGGTATCCCATCGGTTGTTTTGTCAGTTAAACTATTCGAAATTCTTTTCAACAAAGAAATTCACTGCATATTCAGTCATCGATCTATAACCAAAGCGTATCAGAACATTAGTAAATAATGATTCACTTAGTTGAACTTTTGTTGCTGCACGAGAAGGGTGATTCAAACGAAAAACAGACTCATCCGTATATATTGAAGAAACAAATCAATCTGCTAATCTCAACTCTTGCTTTTCAGCAATCGATATTGAGGTGTGAGGTGAGAGTGAGTTTACAAGCTAATTCCAAGCTACTTACGACGATCGCTTCGACCTTGCTTTAGAATCATCATCAGATAAATTACGAATTATAATATTCCGTATAGAGATTTATCTCAAATCAATAGATAGTTTTAAAAAAGTAAAAAAAAAAGCTCTCAATAATATTCTAGTATTAAGATAAAGAGAGTGAGGATGAGTTTGAAATATTTTAAATTCGAAAGAACTATCTATAATCCTTTTACTTTTTCGCATGAAAATATTCATAGTATTAAAATAAATACGTTCACTTGACATGCTCTATTAAGTACGAAAGACGAAATAGAAAGAATTATTTGAGCAGAATGGAATCGAACCCACACCTTCCAATAATCGGTTGACTCCTCAATCAATTAAGCTACTCAATTATCATCTCAGTTACTAAAGTAATTGCACATCCAATATTCAATTCAATCATATGAATATCCCAGAACATTAACGATCTTATTGATTTTTCTCCATCTTTTGCTGTACGAGTAGTATTATTTTACTTTGACTCAGTATTCTGTAAAAAAAAACGTTACATATTGAACTTTTCTGGATTCTGGATTGGAATACCATTTTATGAACCTTTTGAGGTTCCACCAAAATCTGGTTCTATTTTGAACCCTTTTTTTTGCTTCTAAAAGAGATTCTATCTGGGGAACAACACAATGCAGTTAATATGTTTAATCTACTGTTGTTTACAATTAACGATTTTTTGAAACCACAACTAAGAGCAATAATTCAATTATTTTTTGCCTGTAAGACCGAGTACTGTGATACCTGAAAACGAATCTATACGAACTCATTTATACTTATAGTCACTGAGACTTGTCACTACTTGAATCCCAACACACATTCCATTCTCCTTCCATTAAATCTGCTGTTTTCTGTTGCTACAATCCTAAATGAAAATCATAATCATTTATTTTAAAAGTCAAAACTTGTTATTGCATTGTTCACTGATATGAATTTAAATTAAAAAAATCTATCATTTAAATTTAAACTCATCATTTGATTGCTCATTGACATAAATCTAAGCAGAAAAAAAATATTTATTATTTAATTTTAAACTTACGAGTCAGTTGTTTCTCGACATGAACCTAAATAAAAGAATGAAGTTATTATATACGGTGTCCCAAAAATTCGGTCGAAGAAGACACGTGATTATCTCTTTAAATGTTCAAGCGATTTTCGTGAGGTATTTATAGTTTCGTTTCATATTCATGAAAGTTCTATTTTATATAAATTTCTCTATAACAAAAATAAAATGGTTACTTACAAAAACAATACTCAAACCTACTCTTTTCAACATATGTTCAAAAACACTGCGTAAATTTTATTTTGAAATCTTTTTGACTTTATTACGGATTTTAATATCCAACTTAATACAATGTTTTATCGATATGTTTCTAAGAAAAGTCATCGAATCACATTAGATCAAGTGAACGTTATACTCATTGAAATAAATTGTCTCTTCTATTACACTTGCTTAGAGAAATATTCTTTAAAAATTACAGACTTCATCACTATAATGATGAAGAGTTTCGTGTTTGTAAAATACTATAAGGTTCATCTTTCATAATCTTCTTAGTTCTAAAATAAAAAAAAGTTTAAACGTATAATAAAAATTTTTTCCCAACAGAACCTACCGCCAAACAAATTGTTCAAACAGTCGAGTTTGTAACATTGAAACGTATATGTTGACCTTGAAAGACTGTCTCACAATATTGATAGCTCTATGTGTGAACTTTTTTCACTCCACTATCCGACGTTTTTTTAACATTCTCCTGACGGTTGTTACAGAAAATTTTAAAATCGATATTTACGAGATATTTTTACAGGTATGCTGAAAAAGGTAGGTTTGAGTATTACTTTTGTAAATAATCGTTTTTTATATTTGTTATAGATAAATTGATATGAAATAAAACATTAGTGAATATGAAATGAAACTATTAGAACATCAAGTAAGCTGCTTGAACAGTTAAAAACATTTTCACATTTCTTATTCGATCAGACTTTTGGGACACCCTATATCAATGCCTAACTGATCGATTAGCCGTCGTCTGTTTATTATTATTAGACAAGTAAAGCTATTCCAGATTTATATTAACTAACTAGCGCTAAAACAAAAGATCCACATTAGTTAAAGCGATTTCCACTAAAACCATTTTTGTAAAAGAAGTTTAGGATAAAAAAGAATGGTGTCGGATAGAACTTATCTAATCACCTGGAACCATTTTTTTATCTGACATTGTTCTTTAAATTATTTAGAACAATCAATTGGTTCTTAACAAATGAATGAAACCTAGAAAGGTTCAGGATTTCAGTTAAAACCACCAATGGTTCCTTGTAACACTTTTTTTTTAACAGAGTAAGAACTGGTCAAATTAATAAATCAATCAATCAATTAATGAATTGTTTATGAGTAATCAATTAATTATTTAGCAGGACTCTAATAGTTTCAACTCTAGAGAAACTGTCACGAGTTCTCTAGAACTAGAACTGCTGACAGTTCAAGTGGTGAATGGGCAAAGATGAAATAGCAGACGCTGGACTCTACCGAACCGACTGACTCTACGTGACTCCACATGACTGGAATCTGCTGAAGTCATAGCTGCGCAACTACCAGTACAAATTGTACTCTCAGTTACAGATGTAGTGTCATGTACTATCGTATACTATCATGGACTATCATCTACTACGTCAAACACCTACCCAGGTCAAAAAGGCAAACGTCAGATCTTGTGCATACAAGATTTTTTGTATGATTTTGACGTAAGATCCAATCAGCACGTATAGGCTAATTTATTAAAAGATTTCATCAGATTCTGAATGAAAATCTCCAACAAATATCTTGTAAGATTCAGAGATTAAGAAAGGTATAATAATGCACTAAATGACTCATTTCAGATCTTATCAGATGAGATAAGACTCAAACACAAATAAACATACCAGAGAAGGCCAGGCATATATTCCCAGGTCAAAAAATCAGATACTAAGGTCAATCACAGATTTTGTAAGTTTCTATCAGATCTTACAATGATATCGTGTCTGCTCATATATGATCATACGAAAAATCATAAGCAAAAATCGTCGTCTCTACCATCTTACAGCAGATCTTATCCTAAGGTCCACATATGAGCAAACATTTCCATCTTGTATCATCATATAAAATTTTATAGTAATGTTACAATAGATTTTTTCACAGCTAGACATTATTCACATTATTGGTATTGCTGAATCTTAATATGTCAAATATATTTCAAATTGATTCCACATCGTAAAGAAAATTTTTACTTGTAAAGATACCCATCGGTACATAATCTAAAAGTCTTTGTTAAATAATCAAGCCAATAAGGCGACCCTAAAAAAAGTTATAAATAAAAAAAAAATCTTTTCTATATTTCCTATATAAAAAAATGAAAATATATGTCCATGCATATAGTAGTATAAGAGTAAAATAATACATTATTTTCTATGTTATCAATATAAAAATAAATGAAATTAAAAAAATTATATTCTATATTATTAATATCAACATAGAAAAATATGGAATAAAAAATATATGTACAACCATGTCATTTAAAACAAATTATATATTGTATTTTCTTTTTTTTAGATATAGAAAAATACTCAATAAAAAGAAATTATTTGGCAACAAAATATTTGATCAGTAAAATAGATTAAGGGATTAGTAAAACAGGATACAAATGTTCAGTAGCTAAATTACCAATAAATAAT